AGGTTGATAGCGGGGGGATCGTAGAGACTAGCACGCGTGCTTATTCGCGCCTTCGACAACGGGGTTGCGCCCACAACCCCTCTCGCATGCGGTGGGATAAGAAGCGGCACCTTCTTGCTGGCGTCGCCGAACGTCCGCCTCCGCCTCTGCATGCTCCCGATCTTGCGGCGCAGCGTGGACAGCAACGGCTGCCCTTGCCCCGCGCGCGCGCCGATGTCGAGCCCGTCGAATATCATCCTAGCGAGGCAGCTCATGCGCAATTCGAGGACGAGGCGATGGGCGACGAGAAATACGACGACAACTGTGGTTACTGCAGGCACTACGCGTGTCTGGTGAGTCTGGCTCTCGATTGCGATGATGCTCCTGACCCTGCGGCCGGTCCGTCTACAAGTCCAGGCGCTGGCGAGATTTGCGCCAGCTCGCTCCTGACATTGGGCGCAGGCCTACTCGGCGCCCACAACCTACCGTCTCCAATTGCAGAGAATGAACCGATTCTCCCGGGCTTACTTAGTGTCTCTGGTCCTCCACAAGCTGATCCGGCCCTTGAAGGCGAGGCGCGCTCAGTCGACGATTTGCGGACTTTGGTTCAGACAAGCTTGGCGGCAAATGCAGCGGCCTCATCCTGTGGCGCCGCGGCCAGCTCTACTGGCGCGGCGCCCGCGGCATCGGCGCTGCTTCTGGATCGGAGGAAATGGCGCGCGCGCGATGCCAGGGCGGGTTCTGAACCGCTCGATATTCACGGCGCCCTTCGACTCCGCGGCGGGCCCCGGCGCTCGCGAGCACAAACAGCTCGCGCAAGACACGCGCGAAGAATCTCGGCGTCTCTCCGCTGGGCCCCGCGAACGTACCATTGCAGAACTCGCTCGCGCTTGGCCTGGCCGCGAACCATTCAAGAAAAACTCGGCCTTCGCCGTCGCGAAGCAAAACTTGGGTAGCACGTGCTGAGCAATCGACCCCATCGCGCATGTCTTCGTCGGCCAGGCAGCAGTTCCCAGAGGGCCTGAACGGCGCGCCGATGGAACGCCCACTGCCGCCGTTCGATTTGGCGAGGCGTCAAGTTGACGACTTCTCACAAGTCGATGCGCAAGGCGACGACAGCAGCAGATCCACCTCTTATGGCGCGCATCCAGCTGTCCCCGACGATCCCCGTTCCTCATCACCCACCGACGCGGGCATTATATTACTGGGGCATTGGCGAGCCGTGACCCAGGACAGTCTAGCGGCCGCGACATCCACCCGCTTCCGCGGGCGCATCTCTCGCCCAGCTGGACGATCGGCGATGCATGTCTGGATGGTCCTCTGCCGGCTTATCGGGGCGTCACTGCCGAAGTCTGCCAGCATGTCGGGGCTCTTGGCGGACTTATCTTTCCAGCATGTGACGGAGCAGACCCTCGCATAACGCTTGTCCTTCCTCGCGATTCTTCCCCGCCGTCGACGGCCGCCCAGTCCCTTGCCGGCGTCGCCCTATACGCGCTGATCACGCAATCCCCCCAGGTGGCCGCCACCATCCATTCGTCTTGCGGGGCGCGGGGGCACGCGGAGATGGCCGCGCACCTTTGTTGTTGAGCACGAAGAAGGACATTTACCCCACGGCCCGCCTGTCGTTGAAGATGTCAGAGGAGAGCCAGGCGGCATCAGTCTTCTGGCGACCAGCAGCGCGCCGCCAAGATTGAAGAAGGACCATGCCACTAACGATGATGCGCCTGACGTTCCCTCAGGCAATGATCAACGCGGTGGCGATCGAGATCTGGTCAGTGGAGGTGGTTCCCATCGGCGACTACTTCCTTCTGTCGCTCCCATGGTCTTTCCCGAGTGCCCCCGGCCACGCCTGCGACGACCGCGGGGCCTTTCGGCGCATTCTTCTCAAGTTATCCCAGCAGTGGCGCTCCAGCTTCCTCTGCCAGGACGCGTGCTTGAACGGCGCGCGGCACTGGATGGAGCGGTCCGTTGGATTTGCGACATCACAGCCGAGACAGACATTATTCGACCACCTCTTCATACATCCTCGACGACAATTACTGCAAACTGCAGCAGATGGCCTCAATCGAAATATGTGCTGACACATGGGATACGGGGGATGACTTGCGCTCTACATGATCGATGGAGCTGTCGTCCGTGGATGCTCTCGAGCTGGAGCGCAAACGCGCCACTCTCCGCGTGCAGTGCCAGAACATCCAGGGCTGGAGGCCCGCATCTTCCTCAACCACGGCGTCGGAAGTACTTCGACAGGGCGAACTGCTTTGCTGCGTCCTTGGGGGGGGGCAGGAGATTCAGCCTCCGCGCCCCAACACCTCCGACGCCAACGTGACCATCCAGCGGACGCCCGTCTTTCATGCGTTCCTGATGACGACCGCGGGGAGGCAACTGCCATTTTCGCCTCCAGCACAGCTCCATAAAAATCCCAATTCAAGACGCCATCAACGACAAGTGGATCCAGATATCTCTGGCCACTGATGATGCACAACCCCCTCGTCAAGATCATGAAGTTCCTGAGCCGCTTATCTCCTTCGGCGAGCTCGTTCCCGACGGCCTCCAGCAGAGCGCCAACAACAACAGCAGCAGCAACAACAACAACAATAAAGCTGGCTGCCTGGACGTCGGCTTCACGAGCCTGAGTGACTCGGCCAGCGGCGCGGGCGGGGCAAGAGGAGACACGCCCCTCGCAAAATGGGCTCCTCCTCCTCCTCCGCCGCCTGGCCTTCCTTCTCATCCATTTCATCGACATTTTCTTCCCCCCTCTCCCCCCCCTCCCCCTCCCCTCCTCCTCCCCCTCTTCCTCCTCCTCCTCCTCCTCCTTCTCCTCCTCCTCCTCCTCCTCCTCGTCCTCCTCCTCCCCCTCCTCCTCCTCCTCCTCCTCCTCCTCCTCCTCTTCCTCCTCCTCTTCCTCCTCCTTTTCCTCCTCCTCCTCCTCCTCGTCCTCCTCCTCCTCCTCCTTCTCCTTCTCCTCCTCCTCTTCCTCCTCTTCCTCGTCCTCCTCGTCCTCCTCATCCTGTCCGTCCGTTGTGCACCCTCCCCCTGTTGGGGGTTCGGGCAAGCCCCTGGGCTGCGTGGCCGCAGGTGCTGGGGTGGTTGGGCGCGGAGCGGCAGCTGGTCCCGCGCTCCCGCCCTGGGCGGCCGGCGTCGTGCTGAGGCTGTCGTCCGCGCCGGTGCCGGTTACATTTAAGTGAGGGTGACCATTCGCCGGGGTGACGTTTGATGCGGGTCCAGATCGTCATTCTCGTCGTCCTCTCGTCGTCGTCGCGCGCGCCCCTCCCTGTCTCTTTCTCTCTCTCTCTCTCTCTCTCTCTCTCTCTATTTCACTTCCCTTCCCTTCTCATCCGTTCTTTCTTTGCTTATCCTGCTTCCTCCTCTTCTTGTGTTTCTTCTCCCTCGGCTGCTGCCTTCTCCTCATTTTGCTTCCTTCTCTGCTGGGTATCCCCCCCAGTGACCACTAGTATTGGCTTGCGCGCTTGGGTCACTGTGGCCCCACCGTGGCCCCTAAAGTTGCGCATCGAAGGTCATCCTTGCCCAGGGTCACTCTTGCGCGCAGCCGACGGTGTCCGCGCACGATGCAGGAGAAGCCAACGCGGGAGCGTGGCGAGGCTCTGGACCAGGCGAGCGCGCAGAGCGGTCGCAGAGGGAAAAGGCCGACGAACAGTTTCATTCGGAGGCGAGCCCGGGGGGGAAGGCAGGGGGGCAGACCTCTTTCACAGGGCCCTGGGAGGCCTCCGACCTTCTGAGAGGCCGCCTGCGTCTTCGGAGCAGGCGTTAAAGAGCTTTGTCAGAAACTTGGGTGGCGTCCTCTGAGAAGGCCCGCCCCCTCGGCCGTCCCCCTTCTGCGTGATGCCAAGAGACGGCTCCAGTCGCGCACGTCGGTTCTCGCCCTCTTCAGGAACTTCGCAGAAGGTGGCGCAGGTTCCGCGGATGGTTAGGCCCGTCGTGGTCGAGGGACGAGGAGGGCGGCGGCAAAACTCTTCGCGGGTGTGAGTCGAACTCACGAAGCCGAAACGCCTCGATCGCGCGTCGATTGAGGTCGGCTCTCACAGGTCGGCCTTTCAAATCAACGATATAGTTGTGTCCAGTGTCTCGCCACCCGTGTTCTCGACATCCCATGTCAATGTAACCCTCGGAAGGGTCTTGTGTCCTCGTGCGTGTCCCACCACATCGAATTCGAGTGTACCGCATTGCGGGATTTCGAGGAAGTCGGCGCAGGCTCCGCGACAGGTGTGCCCGTTGTTGTGGTTGGGAACGCGAGGGGGTGGCTGCGAAAGTCCTCGCGCGAGCCTGGCCGACCGCAGCCCGCGTCCGCGTGCTCGCTTGGGGTCTCGACGTCTGGACCGTGCATTTTGGGCTGCGGGGACGGGTGTGGACGAGTTTGAGCAGAGTGTGCTTTCGGCAGCGCGCCCAGGGGCTGAAGGCAGAGGGGGCGGGCCTTCTCAGAAGACTCAGAAAGCATCCGGCCTTATAGGGAGCTTTCTAAGCTTTCTCCGGAGCCGCAGAGGGTTTCCCAGAAGGCCAGAGAGCGTCCGAGAAGCCGCGCCGTTGCTCTTCGACTGCGGGACAGGCGCACGCGAGCTTCAGCAGGGTCTACTTGGTACAAGCGTGCGGTGGGCTGCGTGTCTCCCGCGTTCTCCTGCGCCTGCCTGCTCTTTGATGAGACCAGCCGCAGGGCTCCCCAGGACCACCTTAGGGCCCCCAGTGCTCCCCTCGACCACACTGTACCTCGAGCGTCACGCTCTTGCATGAGTTGCACGGTGCACGGCGTGGTCAACCATAATGACAGGTCGAGGCTCCCAGCACCTACGTTGTTCTCTGTCTGTAGCTCGATTTCGAGTTCATGGCTAGCTTCGACGCTCTGCTAGATTCGGTCGCTCCTCATTTGTTTCCCCACTCTCCTCCTCTTCCTCATATTGCACCGTCTCTTCGCTTACTTCTCCGCTCCTTCGCCCTCTCCCTCCAGTAGTAATGCCTCGGTGCTGGCCCGTCAGATCCGGCGGGGGGGGGGCGTGCCGTGAGTGGAGGTGTCGGAAGTTCTATGCAAAGATCTCGCTCCTCGACCAACCAGTCTCGCAGCCCACAGGACCCAGGCGAGGATGGGACGCAGGGTGTTTTCGCGCCGCTCCCCCCCTGCTCCTCCTTGTCACCGTCATCCTCCTGATCCTTCTAAGTGTTTCCTTATCCTCCCCCCCCCGCACCCCACCCCCATCTTCCATCCCACATGTGCCCCCCAAACGTCCTCCTATATCTCCCCAGCTTCCGTCATCCTCATCATTTGCCCTACCTCCTTTCTGAGCCGGGCCCCTCCGAGGTGCAGAGCTCTTGATGCATCGAGTATCCCCACAAGCCCGTCCAGAAACGATGCCCGGGCGATCTGTTTTGAGGAGGCTTGGGAGAAGTGTATGAGCAAGAGCTGGGACAAAGAGAGGGGGGGGGCAGCCGTCAAACCTCAGCTCGGAATCGGCCAGAATAGATGCAGGAATCAACGACAAATGCCTTCGCGGATCTTTCCAAATGGGAGCGCATAGGAAGTACCTTGAGGGCTCTTGGAGCCCTCCTGGGGCTCTCCTGAAGCCCTCTTGAGGATTTTCGGAGCATTTCCTGGGCAGACCTAGGGCGCCATCAGTAGAACAGGGGAGGGGTACTTCATTGGCATCGCCATGCCAGAGCCTTGAAAAACATAGATTGGGCCCCTCTCGGGGCGCTCTTGGGACGCTCTTGGGCCGTCCTGGAGCCTTTTATAGGCTTCTCTTGGGGCTCGAAGCCATCCTGGTTCCTTTGAAGCCCACTGGAAGCGAAAGCGCGAGAAGGCCAGAGTCAAGCCGTCAAAGGACCTCTTGGAGGCATGCTGCAAGCCGTCTTGAGCCAACTTGTGCAATAGCGTGCCACCTTGGAGGCCATACGAAGGCATACCGGAGCATATTGGAACTACCTTGACCCAGCAGCCACCAGAGGATGCCCATCAACAGCATGCACGGTTCAGCAACGTTGGGTTGTTCCATGATTCGAAGGCTGATGCCGCACCGTCGACCCCTTGCTCCGACTTCAGCAAAATCTTCGAATGCGAGCTGGTCGGTTACAGCCAAAGAAAAGCGAGAGCACTGAACTTTGTGGCTTATACAAGGGGAGTAATGTCACGCGCTTGGAGGTCTGAAGGGGTCGGCGGATTTCTGCACGTCGTGGGCGCCCGCAGCCTTCTTTCTTCTGCCCCCTTCGAGGAAGAGCCCCTCATCCCGCGTTTCTTCTCTTTACGCATTCCTCCGACGGCGCTGCGCTGCGGCATGTGTCTGAGCATCCACTCGGTCGAAGGATCGTCAGGGGAATATCGGCCACGTTCCCCAGGGCATCCTGTCCAGCTTCGTGCGCGTTTGCGAACGCCCGCCCGCATGTCCGCCCTTCATCGTCCTCCTCTGCCTCTCCCCTTCCTCTTGTCTCATGCCGTGTTGGATGGACGTATGTTTGGTTTTGACCGTTTGGGCCGTTCTGTATTTTCCATCGTTTCCTTTTTCCGTATACTCCAACGTTCGATTCGTCTCGGAAGAAAGTAGTTCTGAGAAGCCGGCGGAAGCAGTTCTTGATATCGCCGGGCTTGGCGAGTACGGCGCACGCGGCGCAGGGGCGGACGTCGGGCGCGGCAGATTCCGAGGAGGGTCGAAATGTGAGCTGGATGGCGAACTAAGCAGCAGTCATCCGCGCGAAACCGCGCGCAGGGTTGACGCGAGGGGTGATGAAAAGGACGAAGCTCCCGTCGGAGAAGTTACGGGGGCGGGAGCTTCTTTCCATGGAGCGAAATTGATGATGCAGCGTAGATTCACAAGATGGTTATCTAAGCATCGATACGCGTAACATGTATGGGGAAAGTCAAACGTAATCAAGCATCCTCGTGTGCAGAGAACTCCTGGGAACGATGGAGTACCGCCAGAATTGTGGCAAACCCTATGGAAAGAAAACCAGCAATGGAGATTATCAGAGATCTGTGCAACACGTGTTGGCGACAAAAAGACATTCCCACAAGCTGGCGGGTAGCATCTATTGTTTCAATGTTCAAGAAGGGGGACACATCCCAGCCGTGTAATTACAGGCCAACATCGCTGTTAGCAGTGGTGTACAAAGTTCTCGCCAGCATTTTTTTGCGAAGATGTGCGACTGGAGGGGCAAAGAAGGCGCATCGGGAGTCACAGTGCGGATTCAGACCCGAACGTGGCACGAACGACGCCTTCTTTCTGGCACGGCGCTTGATCAACGTTGCTTTGGTGGACGAGGATGGTTCTCTGCTGCTCTTATGACTTCATTTGCGTAAAACGTTTGACCGCATTCGGCCAGAAGGATTCCTTCACGCACTTCTCCTCTTCCGTGTGCCGCCGCCTATGCTCCGCATGGTCGAAGCCATGTACAGGGTGCGGACGTTCGTGGTGCACGAAGGGGCCTCCACGACATCGAGTCGAAACCAAGCGACAGTCATAGCACAAGGGTACCCGCTCTCACCACATTTGCTGATCATTGTGATGTCAACATTCTGAAATCCTTAACCAGCGAATGGCGGAGCGCAGGCTGGAGAAAGCATCCAAACCATTTGATTACGGAGGACGTGTTGTACGCAGACGACACAATCCAGATAGCAGAGGATCCGGGCTACTTGCAAAAACGTGTGGGTAAATAGTGGCAGTGGTTGGGAGAGCATTTGGCTCTTGACCTCAATGCCGGGAAGACGATCCTCCTCCGAATTCGTCCAGACGCTACCATCACAGGGCCCGACGGGGCAGCCATCCCGTGTGAAGGGAGCGCCGTCTACTTTGGCGGGTTTCTGAGTGTAGACGGCCAGTCACGCAGTGAGTTTACCAAGCGCCTCGGAGAGGCCAAATAGGCAGTCGAGAAGTTGCGAGCTACATGGAACCATACACATTTAAGTAAATAGCGCAATCTGCAAGTCCTAGAGCGTGTATTTTATCGAAATTATTGCACGGCCTCGAATCGTGCATGCCACTGAAGGCAGACAGGGCGAAACTCGATGCATTCCGCCCGCGCATTTGTCTAGAGTCAGCGACGCGGGCGTTCGTCAGACAGCGAAAGTACATACCTAATCTAGCACTTCGTTGCAACGCCAACCACTGCTACATGGCAGGCTCGCCCGGGAACCTCTGAGCAGCCTCCCAAGACGCATGTCGTTTTCTGTTGGGAGCTATTATTATGTGCCGCGACTGCGCGGTAGCGCGCGAGCTCGAGGCAGGCCGCGTTTGCAATTGACGACGTACATTCGCTCACAAATTTCGGAGCTGTCTGAGCGAAGCCTCAATCGACTTCAAGCTCTTTAGGCGACGTAGCGACCTGACGCTCTGCCGTCAAATCTTGGAGCAATAGTTCTGCCTCAGTCCCTCTCCCCCCCCCTCATCCGTTCCCCTCCCTCTTCCCAGATTCTTTGCAGGTTTCGCATCGTGCATCGTGCCAGATGGGATGCAAAGTCTCCCCGCGGCCTGCCACCGAGCCGTTTGGGTGGCAATCAACCGTTCAATACGTTGGCATATAATTCTGCTCATGTTTTGCATGTGCCCGCGCGCCGCCACATGCCACTATTTGCCTTGCCAGCGCGCCGTTCGGGCGCGGCTGCCGCCCGTCCTTCTGCCCTTCCGACGCCGCGGAAGACGCGCGGCAAGCGCGCCCGGGGCACGGAGAAGTCGGACTTTCCACGCCCGCCGAATACGAGAAGAAGTCGGGGCCGAGCTTCTGTCGCGCGCGCACAGGGAGGAGACTTCGAAGGCGGCAGGTGGGGGGCGTGCGACGCGGGCGACGCTGGCCACTTCGCAGGCGGGATGCGAGGGGCGATGGGGGGCGGGCGTTGTTTTCGGACAATCAAGCGCGGCAGGCGCGCGGAGGCAGCGTCAGGGGGGAAGTCGCAGCGGCGGGGGGGCGTCGAGGAGAAATGCGCGGCGCGGTGTTAGAGTTTTGGTTGAAGACGGAAGCGGCGATTGCAGCACTTCCGCATGCGACAAAAGCTGCCGCGGAGAGGCCGCGCAGGAAGTGCGCTACGGAAAGCATGGGGGCGCAGCGAGTGGAGCGAGGCGCAGAAGACGGGGGGTGAACATGAGTGCCATGAACGTATCTCGGAAGGCGCGGCGACTGGAGACGCCCTGTTAGGTGCCTGCATGTCCGAGACAAGCAGGCAGGAGGGGGCCGACCTTCGCGGGCGTCGCACATCTGTCGGAGAGCCAAGTGGAGCATTACCACGCAGCGGGCGAAGCCTATCGCTCAGTAGTGCGCCGTGCGTGCCATGAGGCGCGCACGGATGCCCGGACGTTCGGGTGCTCTGCGTGTCTGAAACAGGCAGCGAGGGGGCCGACGTTCGCGGACGTCGCGCATCTGTCGGGGAGCCATGTGCATTTCCATGGAGCGGGCGAAGCCCTTTGCCCAGTAGCGCGCCCCATGAGGCGCGCGCGAATGCCCGGGCGTTCGGGCGCCATGCGCGTCCGAAACATGCAGATGGGGGGGCCGACCTTCACGGGCGTTGGGGCACTACTACAAGGCAGGCGAAGCCGATCGCTCAGCATGGCGAAGCGCGGGCCACGAGGCGCGCGCGGATGCCCGGTCGCTCAAGCTCGCTACGCGCCAGCGGCACGCGGTTGGAGAGAGGCCCGCGCTTTCGGGCGCCACGCATTCGATCGAAAGCCAATAGAGCAGCATCTCGCGAAGGGGTGGATCCATCGCCCCGCCGCGCGCCGACGGCGTCAAGAGGCGCGCGCGCGCGCGCCAGGGCGACTGCTCAACCAGGCGAGCTAGCAACGTGAAAACTGGTTGGATCATGTCGTCTTGCGTTTGAAGTTGTTCGCTTGGATTGTCGGTCGCGCGCCCGCGTCCGAAACAATCCGCAGCGTCTCGCGAGGGCTGGGTGCGACGGGCTCTCGATGCGAGTTTGCGACGCGAGCCATCTGGATCACCCATGGCACCCCGCGCGTTCCCGCCACCCCATCCAAAGACAATTGCTAGGCGAGTTGCCCTGACCCCTGACCACGGGCGCGCGGCTGCATCTGTCACGCCCTGGGAGCGATTCGGAAGTATCTCGGGGCCTTCGCGGCGCCCTCTTCGGGGCCATGTTGGATGCCTCTGGCGCGTTCTTGGGGCATCATTGGTCTCTCTCGGGTGCCTCGAGGGGCTGCCGGGGGCCATCATGGAGGTCGCCGCTCAAAGGAGACGGGGGTGCCAATCGGCAACAAGCCGAACACATCTACATTGAAACCTCGTTGGGGCGCTCTTGGGCCGTCCTTGGCACCTCTCGGGGCCCTCTCGGGGCTCGCCTGGGCCATCTCGGAACCATCTTGAAGCTTCGAGTGCCCATCGAAGGCGACGGTGCGAGGAAACAAAGACACGTCGATCCCCCTCCGCTGATTTGGAACTGCGCCAGGCCTTCTCGGGGGTGCCCCTGGGAAGCCCCGCGGCCAGTTGGAACCATCTTGGGGCGGTATTGGAGCGGATTGGAGGCATGTTGGACGCCATGTTGAACACTACTGGGCTCTGGTGCGGTAGTGGAAGCCGCTGTGGGCTGGCTGGCGCCCTTTTGGGGCCGTCGGCCGTCTCGGGGCCACTTTGGACCCCCCGACGACCCGCGGAACGCCTTTTCTAGACCCCGGGAAAAGAGGGTAGGGGGAGAGGTAGAGTCCCCCACATGTGGGCAGAAACATATTGGAACAACTAAATCGTGGTAGGAATCGGTTGCCATCGCGCGCAACGGTTGAGTCAGAGTGAGGGGGCGAACGGTAATTTACTGTCCCTGGGCGCGTGGCTGAAGTGAAGTTCTGCGGTGCGGACTGTTGCTGTTGTTTTTGGTGGTGGTGGTTGTGTTGTTGTTGGTGGTGGTGGTGGCGGTGGTGTTGAACTTTCATTTTCGACGAAGAATGATTGTTGATCCCCCCCTCCAGTGCGCATTGTACTTTTCAATTGAAGCGCCCCTTCGGGCGTTCGCACCTTGTTTTTCCCTACCTAGGCTCTGCCTAGAAGGGTTCTTACTGTCTTTGCTTAAAGGGGCCGGGCAGTGCAAATCGCCCTGGGCGGTTCCCCCAGTCCCCTGGGGCCCAAGCAAAAGCAACAGCAAATGTAAAAGCAAACGCGCGGTTCCCCCAGTTGCGCTCCCTGGGTGCCTAGCAAAAGCAAAAGCAAAGGCAAAAGCGAAGGCAAAGCAAAAGCAAGCAGAGCATAGCATAGCACAGCATAGCATAGCATAGCGCAGCATAGCATAGCGCAGCATAGCATAGCCTAGCTTAGCCTAGCCCAGCATAGCATTGTACATCATCGCATAGCATAGCATTGCAGTGCAGAACAGAGCAGAGCAGAGCAGAGCATAGCGCAGCACAGCATCCACTATTGATGCTGGTATATATATGTGTGTGCGCACGTATGTTCCATGCATGTTGTCCGTCTGTGGGCCATCTTGAGCCCTTGCTACTACCACTACTACCGCCACTACCGGTACTGCTACAACTACGACGATGAGGAGAAGGAGGAGGACAGCGTTTACCGCTCCTACTAATGTTGCTTTCCTAGAGGCTCCAACTCCTAGGTAGGGTCGCACTGGGATAATTATCAACGAAAGTCTTCCTTCGCAAATTGTTCCCCTGGCTCCCGGTTTACAACAACAACAACAACAGCAACAACAACGGCTGCCGCTTGATACTTCCTCGAAATTTACTCCGGTCCCCCGTTCCCGCTTGAGACTTCCTCGCAATGTACTCAAGAATCACGCTGCCGCCTGAGATTTCCTCGCAATTTACTCAGGCGCCGCGCTCTTGCCATTCAGAAATCGCGCGTTCGCTGGGGATTTCCTCAAATTTCCTCCTCGCTTCCTCTTTGTCTCTCTCTCTCTCTCTCTCCCTCTCTCTCTCTCTCTCTCTCTCTCTCTCTCTCTCTCTCTGTTTATCTCCCTCTCTCTTTCTGTCGCTCTCTCTCTCTCTCTCTCTCTCTCTCTCCTTTCTCACTCCTCTTGTCATTTAGGGGTTGCGCCCAATACACGTGGCAGGTCAGGAAGATGTACCTCCAGAGGGGGTATGACCGAAGACGCAGAAGGCGGGTATCGGGGGTTTGGGATATACGTTGTGAGGTACGCTCGAGCAGATAAGTTCAAATTCGCTGAGGTTGTTTCGAATTGGCTGGCGCGTTTAGGGAGGAGGGCCCAGGGAAAAGGGGGGAGCGGCGACGGCGGCGGCGGCAGCGGCGGCGGCGGCGACGACGACGGCGACGACGACGACGACGACGACGAGTAGTCAAACGAAACAGCCTCTCGCCTCTCGCATACGCTGACAGGGTCGGGGGATTCCTCGCACCTCCCCTTCCCAATCTCTTCCTACCCTCTGCCCTTCCTCCGCTCTCTCCCTCGCCCTCCCCCGTCCCGCCTCCTTCTCGCCTGCCCACCCTCCATTTTCGCCATCTTCCCCTTCCGCCTCCCCTCAGGGGGAGGGAGGAGGAGGAGCAGGAGGAGGAGGAGGAGTACGAGGAGGAGGAGGAGGAGGAGGAGGAGCAGGAGGGAGGAGAAGGAGGACGAGGACGAGGACGAGGACGAGGACGAGGAGGAGGGAGGAGCGGGGGAGGGGGAGGGAGGAGCTAGAAAAGGAGGGAGGAGGAGAAGGAGGGATTCCTCTCCCTGACTCCCACTCATGCCCTTTTCCTGACCTCAGCTTCGCTGCAGCATCGGAGGCGCGGGGCGATTGGACTGCATGGGCGGCATCACCAAAATCATGACCTTGGGATGTTGAAAATGAGAGTGATGGGAGGAGAGGAAGAAGTACTAGGATGGGAAGGGGGGAGCAGAGCAGGTTGATGAGCAGAAGGGGGGATGAGGGGGGAGGATTGTGAGAATGAGAAGGAAAAGGGGGAAGTGGAAGCAAGATGACGGGAAGAGGTATGAAGAGGAATATGATGATGAGCTTCCAGTCCGTCCTGCCGCGCTCACCCTTCTGAGAAGGCTGCAGCGCGGCGCCTCCCTTCCTTGTCTGCTCCGCGCTTTTCGAGCAGTCCCAACTGGGGGTCATCATTAGGGGGCTACCACCGCACCCCGGAAATCGAGGATCGTGGAACAGGGGAGGTTGAAGTTCGAGGAGGTTTGGACGTTTCGGAGTGTCTTTGGGGGTCATAGAGGGTTCTTGGAGGTCAGGGGTGGTCCGTTTCTAGGAGGAAGGAGTTGGCGACCCCCTCTGGTGGTATCACACGTTGCCCAGCGCGCAGAAGCAGCTCTCGGGCGCTCCGCGAGTCGCCAGTGCCTCTTGCCTTGCCCTGTCCGGCTCTTCCGCTCGGTTGATTGTTTTGTCGGGCTCCTGGGTTAAAACGAAGTCAGGACGGGACAAACTTGCCTCGGGATAGATCGGGGATCTCTGAGATCCAACGGTTCTGAAGGATGTATCGGGCGCCGCGGCCTTCTCAGAGTGTTCGGGAGGGCTCCGAGGGCGTTCCGGAACGCCCTGGAGCGATTTATCCCGATCTCAGACACGCCTGTGCTTTTGTTGCGTTCCCCCCCTTTGGTTTTCCCCTTTGCACTTGCCGCCACTCTTTGGCGACTGCCGCCTCGCACTTTGATGCCACTTCCGCAAGTTTCAAATTTGAAAGTTGCTCATGCTGCGCACTGTCTGACTTGAACTGACGCTGCATACTGCAGCTGTTTGTGTACCTAAGCAAGCTTTCGTTTGCTTGCAGGAGAGAAAAGGAGCGCGCCAGCCCTCGGCCGTCGCCCGCCGTCGGTCGTAGGCCAGCCGGCCTCCTCCCTTTACATTCCTGATATAGTAAACTTGCTTACCGGATACTTGTCGCATCGATGTCTCATCCCGTCCCCTCTCTCCCTGAGCAGAGTGAACATGAGATCTTAATTCCTTTGGCATCTTACCCCGATTCTCAGAGGAAAGATTGGTTATCAGCCGAAACGCGCGACTTAGTCGACGTGGGATCATCCCAACCAGAAGCAAGAACTTCGGATGAACCCCGCGACTTAGTCGCTGCGGGAATGAGCTGTGACAAGACAGATGACACGTCCGTCGCTTCGCGAAGCGCAGATCAGTGTGTTGTACAACGTGACGGACATGACATCAATGAGAGCTGGCCAGGGCCGCATTCCTCCTTCCTATTTCGCCACTCGGGCATCTAGGGGTAGAAGCACTGAAGGGGTGGTAGAGATGTCGGTAGATGTATCTCCCTCTGGAATTCCGATTGGCAATCGGGAACAAGCCCCAGACCCGTATGGACGAAATGGCATAACAGCAAGACCTAGACGAAGTGCGTTCTCGTCTTGGAGTGCCACATCGACGGAGTCAATCAGCCCGATTCCGGATGCTACACATACAATCGTGCCTGCCACAGGTGAAACCAGCCGGCCAGGGGAAGCCCATGAGAACACAGGCGTGTACCCCAGCGTCCCAGGCGAATGGGCAGGTACGAGTAGAAATGTCCCCATCCCAATAGCGTTAAACGGACAGTTCGGTCAAGACAGTGATGGTCCTATTGATAAAGAGCATGAAATAAACTCAATGGAGGAAGATTTTGACAATATCAACAAAGGAATCTCTCTGAGCCGAGAATTGACCTTGATGATGGAAGAAGACCACCCCGCCCAAGGCGAGAGGTGGTCCCCAGATGGATCTGATGAAGATACCAGTGTCCTGACGCCTCAGGCGGACAGGAATGAGACTCAGGCGAAGCATGACAGGGAGCCAACAGGACGGACTCCTGCACCTCAACTCAAGAAGCAGAGAAACGAGGATTATGACTTAAACGACTCACCACTAAAAGAAGGTTTCTATCGTCTTGCCGTCGCCTCAGGCGACTGGCAACCCTCGATGCCAGCTGTTGTTGAGGGCGAGGAAATGGTTGGACAACCAGCTTCGTACACTGAGCTTATAAGCCAGGACGAGAGGGATGAGGAGCTTCTAGAGGTACCTAAACCCCCAGAAGGTACGTTCGCGCGCCCCAGATCGAATACGTCTAGTAGGGGAAGACCCAAGATACCAAGATCAGGGGCGATATCTACTTCAAGGAGCAACAGTACCATCTCCATAATGGAGGCATGCTGGAACCCAAACCTTGACTGCGCGCCTCAGGCGGAAAGCAGATGCCGAGGTAAAGCCGACCGGCCAGAAGGTTAGGCAACCAGTTTGTAAGAGCTGCTCTGATGTATGCCCCAAGTGTAGTGTTCAATGGTTGCGTATAGAGTGCTTTCCTACGGACGAGCACAATTGCACATATCTGTTCACATAAACTATTCAGGATCAGGCTAGACCAGCTGAGGCTAACACCCAGCGAGACTTCTTCGCCAGCGAAGCACAGCTGGCCGAAAGGGCCCGTCTGGATCGAGAGGAGATGACAGCAGGCACGGCAGAAGTTCGGAAGACGTTTGAGGCTGAAAGACTCGCCCTAGCTATGGCTGCTAGAGAGCGAGAACGAGAACTGATGGAACAAATGTATCATCAGACCGCGGCCGCTAAGCGACAGGCGGAGATAGAGGCCGAGAGCAGATATCTTGAAGTGCTGGCTTCGGAACGACAGGCCGTTGTGGCGGCAACTAATCAGTTTGTTAATGCCAGAACGGTCACCGCTGCTGTTGCGGTGGCTAGAGTAGAGGAACAAATCGCTACAGTCAGGGCGGAACGAGAAAAGCAGAGCTTACAGGAAGAGCTTAAAAACGCCAGGCTGGAAGCGGTTAACACCCAAGTAGTAGCTGCGAAGATAGCTGACCAGAAAAATCAAGATTTGGAAGAACTTAGATCGCATGAAGAAGCCCGAGCATCCCTGCAGCGTGTGCAATCGAGCAATGATAAATGCCCGCCGGCCAAGCCGACTGGGACGAACAGACATCTATTGCCAGCGGCTCAGTCGTCTGGCACTGCATCCGTTCCACTCCAGTCCGACTTGACAAATGTAGCAAACGCGGGATCGTCAACTCTGCAGGTGAGAGCGGCAACGCAGCCTCAACCCGCAGAATTGGAAGAAACTCGAGCAGAGAGTTCTGCAATGGCACAAGTTTGTTCGATTTGTTCACGCCCGAGGACGGGCAATTGCACTGGCTGCGGCTTGCCAGCTTGTAAAGATCATTTCGATGCAAGCACTAGGAGATGTTCCAGATGCATCCTAAAGAAGCGCGCAAGGTCAGCCGCCAACGTGCGAGAAGAAGAGGCCATGGAGAACGCAGCTGAGTCAGAGAAAGGAACGATGAGGCTTAAAGCTACCATCACGAATCCAACCCCGTATACTGAAAATAAACAAGGAAGAGGACTCACCTCGAGTTCATTTGATTTGCCGCTGCTTTCGCAAGACACTCCTGTGAGGCCGCTGTTGCGCGACAACTGCATTGTTCCCGGTCCTGCCCCAGAGGGTCCGGCTAACCCCGGCACCCCTGAGAATGGATTTCCAATTAATATTAAATTGACAGGCTCTAATGACGACAACACTCTCGCCAATTACCGCCCATCCTCTAAGGGTGGCCCTGCGGGGCCGACGGCGACTAAGTCGTCGGGCGGGGCAGGACAGGACGGAGAAGGGGGCGACAAGAGTGACGCTCCGAATGCCGAGAGCATGTCGACGCGCGTCGATGATCGCGGTAAACGACCATATAAATCGCTTCCAGGAAGTCCAGGGGGTCAGATCCCTCGGATGGCGGGGGCGGCCGCGGGGGGCCTCAGGGCCCTGGCGGGCCGCAAGATCCAGTAGTTATTGATGAAAGTACGCCGTTGGACCAATGGAGACAGGTTGGTAACAATCAGAAGATTGACTTGATGTACATCCCCAGCGTTACAAACATACGGGAGTGGCAAATGCACGCGGCCCGTGCGATCGCTGGATTGTCGCCTGAAAGCCAGGCAGCGCAGCACTGGATCGCGGAAGCTATGGACCCAGCCGTGGGCGATGAGCAGCTGAAAGATGCTGGGCGCTTTCAGCGCCTCGATCTCATGGTCGCCACAAATCTGATTGAGAAATTCAACAAAATGCGAAGAAATCGCAGCCAGCCTGGTCATCATATCCATTTCCTACAACAGATCACTCGGATGGAATACAGCGCCCAGAATGAGGGGAGGCTCTTAACTGGACGCGAGATGGTACGAGCCATTTGCCATTGGTGTTCTGTCAGGTCGGAGTTGGGCCAACATCGCATTTCGCGTGATATCTTCAAGGTTATTATTGACCCCCACAAGCCAGATGCTGATCTGTATCATTTTTATAATGAATGGACAGACGTATACCAACAGCTCTACGGCGCCCGACCTCCGTCTGATGAAATGAGGGACTCGATTCATGCACACTTCCTTGAGCAATGCAGAAAGCCGAGCAAGTTGACTTTTGCATGCCAACTATACGACATGTCAAAGGATAGAATGGGACATGGCATGAAGAGTTACGAATGGCTGATGGAGCACACTGAAGAAATGATGTTGCGAGAAGAAGAAGAGTGGAACATCAGCGTGCATGAGGGTACCTTGAATCAACGTGCCAGGCAGGCACGGTTCGGCGGAGGTGGGGGCAATGACAACCGGAGGAGTGCCGGCGGCAAAGCCGCTCCGTCAGAAGTGGCAGCTAAACTGGGGAAATCCACTGACGTCATGAAAAGCGGATTGACTAAGGGCGAGACGACGCGTAAGCACGTGCGCAAGGGCGAAACCTGCCCACATGCGGGGAAAGGTTGTCTTGTTAATCACAAGAAGCCCAAGAATGCCGCGCCGGCTCAGCCGAATACGGGAAAGAAGTCTAGTGCCGCTCCTGCCC